TCTGAGTTTTTCCCAAAGGCTTTGCGGCAGTCACACTTCTGGCAGTTCTTAAACATCAGAAACATCTGCCTTGGCAAAGCACCGCAACACCGCTAAGAAAAGCTGACCTACTCTACGTCCACTCTCGGGATGCGGAACTGATGCACTGAAAACTCAGTTTCACTTGCTGAACAGACTAGGCTAGAAAGTGAAGAATTACAAACCGATTCTACCAATACTTGATTTCTGGGTTTTGTTTTTTTAATTTTGTCCCTTAAAAAACAGGAGGGTTCACTGTGGTTTTGACCGGTGCCAACACTGCCATGACTGCAAGGACAGGTCGGATCTGAGACTTCCTCGTTAACCGGATGTGTGAACATCGAAGCAGCTGCCCGTCTAGCATCCTCCTGGTGCCCACCATCTAGAGCCCGTTCGGGGTGGCCGGGCCCCCAACCCAAACTGAGCCAAGCTAAGCAGAGCCCTTGTTTCATTTGGTGATGGTCACCTGCCACCCTGTGGGACAGGATAGCTCCCACACCCATACCTGGGCAGGCCTTCCCCAGTGAGAAAGCATCCCCAGAGGATGAGAAAAAAATGCGACAAAACATCACGTGGGGAGCTTCAAATGATGCCCTCCCCACCCCAACCTTTCTCTGTGTAAGCAGGAGATCTCAATATGACACCAATTTACAACAAACACAGTGTTTCCCAAAGCTGAGACCCACGTGCAACTTGAGGATGGATTTTTTTCCTTCTTTATTATTACATTTTCTTTTTTTATATATATACAAATTCACAAAAGTTTACCAACTACAAAAAATCTGTTTGAAAAGTAAGGCTTTTGAAAACTGAAAATTGGTACACAAATCCCAAACCAGGAATGTCCCCGTTGGCCCTGAAATCTCCATTTCTGTCACTGTGGTTTGGGGTCGAGTTGGCGGACCCCCAGGCCAATGCCCATGGCACCAGCCTTTGAGTAAGGCAAAAGGGTTTGTTGTCATGTAAACTGGACAGGTGTGTGATCTCCTGTGGCAGGGTCCTCTCCTCCTGCCTGGGGCCAGTCCCCTGGGGTGAAGCAACCCTTCTTCAGCTGTAGGGGGTGTGTGTGTGTGTGTGTGTGTGTGTGTGTAAGAAGCCCTTTGGAATTCCAAGTGAATGATATGTTAAGGAGATTATGCCTTTTTAACAGGGACCCCCCAAAAACCCACCAAGTAGCCTTGAGGTCTGGTTTTCCCGGGCTGCCTTAGGTGCTTGGAGCTGGGTTCTACAATTTCTAGCTCTCCGCCTTGACAGGGAACCCTCGGCTGTGGGCTTTGGGGATTTCTTTTTATGGGGAAGGGAAGCCTGAGGATAGTGGTGAACCAGGGTTCCTCAGAGGGAACCTTGTCTCCACCACCTGAAATCCAAGTTCCTCCCTCAGTTTGGGAAGGAGCGTGAGGGGAAAGGCAGATTTGCCACTGGCCATGACCATTTGTGTGGGGTCCTTGCAGCTTCGCTGGGGATGACAGGGCAGGGATTAGTCACCAGCAGGGCAAGCCACTGGCTGTGCTACAGAGGGCGCCTCGAAGGGCTGGGAAGGGACAGGTGGGCAGGGACCAGTCCTGGGAGAGAGCGCCCACCCAGGCCGGCAGGTCTGCAGACCCCTCCCCACGTGGGGTCCCCGATTCCACGTTAACCCAGACTGGCAAAGCCCTCCCTTGTGCCTTGAAAGATGCTAACCAGTCACTGATGCGCCCACAAACCAGGGTCACAGCATTTGTTTTCCAATGCTTGCTTTTCATCTCTTTAAAAAAGAGCAAAATGAACCCTCTGTTGCTTCTCAGGGCTGTGGGCACCATCAGTTAACAGGGGCCAGGTTCTCAAGAATCCTCCCCAGGGTCAGGTAGAGTCGCTGGGCATGGTCCTCTCGGCCTCAGCCCATCGGCCTGAACGAGCATCACGTGGGCTCCACCAAACAGCGGCTGATGGACTGGCCCCAGCCACACCCCCCTCACCCCCCAGGCACCTGCACCCCCTGAAGCGCTTTCAGAAAAAAATGACGCGTGGGGGTCGAGAAGAGGCCCTCAATTATGCCGTGGGGCATCCTGAAAGCAACCCCAGCGGAGAGCTTTGAAAAGGGGAGTGAGGCACAAGGATGTTTTCTGAAATCCCTGGCTCTGGAATTAGGGAGCAAAGGGAGAAGGGGATGCGGCCTGGGCAGGACAGCCCAAACCCCATGCCAGACGCTGCTCCTCACGCTCGCCTCTGAAGAAAACCTCTCATTAGCAGAGCACAGGAAAGCCTGGGCCAGCGGCAACAGCGCACACTCAGCCTCCTTGGGCTGTCTTTGACGCGACGGAGGACGTGGGCAGATGCCGCGAGGCCAGCACGGAGCATTTGGCCGGGCACGGACCCACCCACTGCCCAGCCCCTCTGACCGATGGCCGGAGACAGCAGCGTCTGGGGGACTATTAGCCCCACGAGGGGCTTGTGGCTTTTCAATGGCTATGTCCCACCTTGGAGATGTGGGGTCAGGTCGTGATAACGTTCATCCTCCTGGTGGCCAAATCACAGGCCAAATCCAGTGAGTATACAAGCCCACCAGGACCGCCACCCCTGGGAACAAAGGTACTGCCAAGGCCTGGAGACCCCTTCCTCATTTCGAACAGTGCTGACCACCCCAAAGGCAGAGCTGGGAGACCCTGAGAAGTGGGTTCTGGGAGGAGCTGACCTCTCTCATGGCCCTGATTCTAGGATGACCCCCTGAGGGTGGAGGACTTGGCTATGGGGAGGGGATGTCCCAACCCCACCAGGCTTCCCGGCATGTCTCCACGTCCCTTTCATAAACACAACAATCTTCTGTACTCACATTGCCCTACTCCTCTGCAAACGACCTTAGAGATGCGGAGACTCGCCCTGACAACAGAAGGGACAGCGATTCTCCCTTCCCAAAGACTGAGAACAAAGGGAGGCATGGCGGGGGGGGGGGGGGCTTGGGGCTCTTAGACTCAAGCCGCCAGGCCCCCGCGGTCCCTCAGGGCGCCTCCCTGGGCAGGGCTGGAGCCGCTAACGCCCCAGAGCGCACCTTCAGGAACAGCCCCCTGGGTCAGAGGAGCCAGCCAAGGTCCCTTCAGAGTTGGCGAGGGGAGCCAAAAAATGGCAGACGGCTGCACGATCCCAGACTCGAGGCGCTTAGTCGGGAAATGAGACATCCAGTCTTCAGTGGAAGAAGAGGAGCAAAGTGGCTCCAGGGTACTGTCATCACCGGCAGGCAGGAGGTCAGCACCTGGGCGGCATGGGTTTAATGAGGAGAAAAGCCCTGTGGACAGTCTACCCGTACTCGGTGACCTCACCTGCTGGATGCTGAGGAGGGGGACGGGGAGGAAGGGGAGGGAGGAGGGAGGGGGAGGGGGAAGGGAGGAGGGAAGATGAAGGGAGAGGAGGGGGAGGAGCAGGGAGGAGGCGGAAGAGGAGGACAGGGAGGGATGTGAGATTTTGAAAGACTGAGGGGCTGAGTCCTGCCCCCATCACTTACTAACTGTGTGACCTTGGTCACATGGCTTGGGCACTTGGGGCAGGGGTCTCATTGCTCCCAGGCCAGAACCTCTGGGAATCTCAGTTTGCTCATTTATAAAATGGGAATAACACTACTACTTGTATGCTGCCTGATAGTGGTGCTGTGAGGTCCAGATAAAGCCCTCTGAAGCCACAAAGTATTAGGCACATGAGTTCTCATTACTATAGTTGATATGAGTCAGGTGAGAGACAGAGATAGCGAGAGACGGAGAGAGTGACAGAGACAAAGAGAAGGGGGGGGGGGGGAAGGGAGACGGAGACAGAGACAGAGGGTGGGAGAGAGAGAGCAGGGCTTTTCCTGTGGTGTGTCTGCTAGAAGGCCTCAAGGACCAGAGCTGAGGTGGAGGGGAAGCCCCCAGGGGCAGGCCCCAGGGTGTGTGGGGGTGAGGGGGTCAGAAATGGGAAGGCCACCTCCCACCCACTGGCCCAGAAAGGAGGGGCACTTGGCAAATTCACAATATGGAACCCTCCTCAGTTTTATGGTTGAAGGGAAGCCTTCATTTAGACGAGGCTGCGCCTCGATTGAATCTGGGAGCAGCTGTGAATCCCCGCCCCCCACACCCCAGCCCAGTCACTGCAGGCCTCTCACCACCGAGGCACAGATGTCCGAGTCAGTCCCGTGATCCCTCTGCCCCAGGGGTCCTGAGCTGGCTGCTGTGGGCTCTTCCCGTGGGCGATGGGTCTAGTGTTTGCTCTGGGGTCCTATTCTCTGACCACGCCCCCCCCCCAAGCAGCCAATGACAACCGGCTAAGGCTATGGCCACCACCCTGGGTCTGGCACCCTGGCATCTCCTGCTGGCACGGGCACTCGGCTCTGATCTATCCTGGGAGCTCCCACCCAATTTCCGGCTGGACCCCACAGTGATGAGAAGACTCTCACGGGCAGCCCAGCTCTGCTGCCCGACCCTCTGCAGAAGGCACTGGCTGAAAGGCTTCCTGACCCCCTGCGGCCCATCCCAAAGCAGGAGTCGGGAACCGTGTGCAGTGCGGACATCCCCGGGAGAAGAGCTGGCACCAGGGCCCCCCCCCCCCCTCAACAGCCCTCCCCTTTCAGATCCCTGCATTCACCCTGAACCGGCCTTTCTTCTGGGGCCTGAGAGAGACGCCCAGAACCTGATGGGGAGAGGCCCGGGGACCCCTGGCAGAAGGGATGGTCGTGCCGGCTCTCCAAGTGCCATGAGAAAGTGAACAAGCGGCTCTCTGCTACAGTAGTGGGACAGAATCCAGGGTCCGAGAGGCCAGGCACACCTGAAAACGTCTTGGCAAGGCTACCTGCTCTGCTGTCTGCATGGGCTTCTCTCTGCTGGCCAAGGAGAGATCCGAGAGAAGCGCGGGGGCCGGACGCGGCCAGGACGGGTCAGCGAGCGATTCCTGGAGGCCTGGGGAGGCGTTCCAGGAGGGAGGCCACACCCCCCATCGCTCCCTGCCGGCTCGCTCCCAAACCCAATGCAGACGGCAGCCTGGTCACGTCTTTTGCCCTCCCCTAGTTGTTTTCTATCTGCTCGATGTCCAACTCGCCGTCCAAAGGGAAGATACCAGCCCCGTCCGTCCCAGCGCTCCGCCACGCCGGGGCCCGCTCCTCCTCCCGTCGACCGCTCTCCTCGTCGGGGAGGCCACGGGCCGACTCCTCGAAGGACAGATCCTCTTTGCTGAGCGTACATTCCTCGGCGGTGGGAGGAGGGTCTGGGCCGGGGGTCCCCGCAGGCTCCCCGCCTTCTGTGCCAGGGCAGGCAGAGAGCAAGGCTGTCCAGGACTTGGAGTTATTCGTGCTGGTGGCAAATGGGCTCTGCTGACCTCGGTCATCCACCATGGTGCTAAGGCAGCTGAGGCTGTTGAAGGTTTGACAATTCTGCAAAAAAAGAAAAAAGAAACACAGGTAGCCGCAGAGCCGACCATGCCATCGTGGGAGCAAGAAGGGCGGTGCGCAATGAGCCAACTGGCCAGCGGGGGAGAGGGGACGCTGTGGACACCAGCCGAGCCTGATCCTGGACATGCATCAACAGATGGCTTCGGGGGCATTGGGCTTCCTCGAACCCTTCTCCAGCCACACCCGCGGGCCAGCAGCATTACCTGGTGTCTGCCCCTCAGAGGCGCCGTCGAGGCACCTAACAGACCGGAGGGAGCTGACCTGCTGTCACACGGGTATGGCCACAGCCCTCTGCCTGAATTAACCAGGTGGTAAAGCTAAGTTCCAGTGCTGGCCTGGAGACTTACCAATCAATCCATCAATCAGTCAATCAACTAGCATTTATTGGACTCCCTCTCCAGGCTAGGTAGCATGCTAGGCTCCGGGACACAAGGCTGGAATTAAACAGTCTGCCCTGGGGGGGCAGAGCTGGGGAAAAAGAACACGTGCAAGTACAAGGATATAAAAAGAAATAAAGTGACTTTGGGGGAGAAGGCGAATCGGGAAAGGCTTCACTGCAGCAACTGAACCTCAGTCCTCATCTGTGAAATGGGAGCATCCACGACCGGCCTCAGCTTCTGGTCACTCGTGAGGACCCAGTGAGATTCCACGTGGGAAGGCCCCGACACGGAGGGGGACGGACGACTCTGAGCTTATTACACGCGGCGTCTCAGACTGAGCTGCCCATGTTTGCTGACCAGTGGATGACGGTCGCACTGCCGAGAACAACGTTCACACTGACTCACGGGGAAGGCCAGTGGCCCCACACCTGGCTCCTGAGAGTCGTGAGCGGTGCACCTCTTCCTTCAGTTTGGGGGCAGCCCTCTAGGCAGGAGACGCCCCTGTTGCTTGATGCCATCCGTGGAGTGGGGCAGGGGTCTTTCCATCGTTTCTCTTTCCTTCAGCATATGCCCCTCAGGAACTAAGGGGGTCCCTTGGGCCAAGGGATCCCCTCACCCACTGCACCCAGTAGATGCAAGGGGGAAGGCAGGGGCTCCTTCTGGGGGAGGGAGCCTCTGCCCTCCGCGGGCTCACTCCCTGCTCCTCAAATGGAGAGACTCCTGGCTTCTCTCAGGAACTTTCAGAGGCGAGGTGGAATATCTCCAGCCTTTCTCCTCGAAAGCAGCCATCCACCTACCGGATACTTCCCGTGTATGTACTGAGTTTTACATGGGGCATCTCTCTTGAGAATGTCAGCTCCGGGAGGGGAGGGGCGGTTTGCCTTTCTTTGTACCCCTCCCCCCCACACCCAGTGCTTAGCCCAATGCTTGGCACAAAAATGGTGCTTAGTAAATGCTCGTGGATTGACTGCGTTGGGTCCCCACTGGGTGACCACTGGCAGCAGGCCTTTCTCTGTGATGGAGTGGACAATCTCCTCCTGGCCAACCTTCTCCCAGTGACCAGTGCACTAGGGAAGGGAATAAGCAATTATTAAGTGTCTACTGTGTGCCAGGCCCAGGGCTAAGAGCTTGGTAAATATTATCTCATTTGAACCTCACGACAACCCTCTGAGATAGGTGCTGTTATTTTTCCCATTTTATAGTTGAGAAGGCAAGAGGAGGGTAAGTGAGTCGCCCAGGGTCTCACAGCTACTAAGTGTATGAGGCTGAATCTGAACTTGGTCCTTCCTGAGTGCAGGCCCAGAGCTCTATCCATTGGACTCCCATTCTTCTTCGAGGAGAATTAAAAACACAACACAAATCCCAGAATGGATAAGCCTTATAACCTGACAAAGTGGTTTGGGGTGGGTGGAGAAGGGACTTAAAAAAAAAAGCCACTAATAGGCCCGAGGCCTAGAAATCAACTCTGCAAAACCCAATGTCTGTGCAAAGAATGAATAAAAAGAAAGGAAGTAGCAGTGGTGTGAAATGTGGGCCAGCCCTCCCAGGAAGTGCACCCACCCTCAGGCACCTTCTGGCAAGCCCTGTTCCAGCCTGACAGGCATGGTGAGAACGTGAGCACCTCGGCTGAGCCCAGATCCCTTCCTGAGGCCAGACTCAGGCTGGACCAGGACGGGCAAAGAATGCCCCCCCACCCCTGATCTGTGGGCACACTCTTTCCAGGCCATGAAAAAAAAAAGCCTTCCAAGCAAGGTTTTCCCTCCCCAGACCTTCCTGCTGGGACGGTTTTCTTGGAAATCTGCAAGGCCTTCTAAGCAAAGCCTCTCTGGAGACGGCTAAATGGGCCTTCCATTTCCTGGCTGGATTCTTCAGGCTTGGCCTTGCAAATTAAATTCCTCACACCTCAGATGGGGACTTTGACAGCAAATGTGAGCAAACCCCATTCATCCTAGAAAGGGAACCAGCGCTAACGTTCTGCCGGGGAAAGCCAATGCATTTCAAGCAAATGTCAGTTCCGGGAATCGAAGCTTAATCGGCCGAGACCTCCTAGAGACACAGCCCTGAGCCATCAGACTCCGAACCCAGAGCCCATTCTCTGAGCAGTGCATTCTAGGAGAAGGCCAGGTCCCGCACTGCACTGGCCTAAACCTCCTTGGGCAAGGGAACGCCCTGGATTCAGAGGACAAAGTCCCAGGTGTGAGGCCCAGACACCCCTGGGACACAGAGCCGGATTCTCTCTCAGGCCCGCCTCATATTTTCCCTCTCTGCCCCACACGGTTGTAACGAGGAAAACATTTTGAAAAGAGCCATATGAAGGCGCAGTGTGCTGATGGTGGCCATAATGCTCACGCTGAATAATAAACCAACAGACCCAGGTGAAGTTACCGAAAGAAGTTTCCAGGAAAGGAGCAGAGGGAGAAGGGGACATTCTTGGGAAGTGGGGGATAAAAACGCCTGAATGAAAAGGTTTTTAAAAGAAAGAAATGAGCTGTGCACAGACTTGAAGCCCACAGTGGGTGGGGCTGGACGGACAGCCAGGCAGACGAGCCAAGGAGACTGGACAGACAGGGAGCAGAGAGCTGGGCAGATGGGCCGAGGAGGCCAGGCAGACGGGCTGAGGAGGTTGGGCAGACGGGCAGAGGAGGCCGGGCAGATAGGGAGCAGAGAGCCTGGCAGACGGGCTGAGGAGGCTGGGCAGATGGGGAGCAGACAGCCAGGCAGACGGGCTGAGGAGGCCGTGCAGATGGGGAGCAGAGAGCCGGGCAGACAGGCCAAAGAGGGCAGGCAGACAGTCTGAGGAGGCCGGGCAGACGGGGAGCAGAGAACTGGGCAGACGGGCCGAGGAGGCCGGGCAGAAGGGGAGCAGAGGGCCGGGCAGATGGGCCGAGGAGGCCGGGCAGACGGGCTGAGGAGGCCAGGCAGACAGGCCGAAGAGGCCAGGCAGACAGGGAGCAGAGAGCTGGGCAGACAGGCCCTAGGATCAGAAGATCAGGTTCACATCCCTGGCCTGCCTCTCATGACTTCAGATTCTTCCGCTGTAAAAGGAAGGGCTGAACCAGGGGGCCTCTAATGTACTTTGGAGTCTGTATCTGTGGTCTACAAATCACCTATGAGGGAGGGGCTGTTATTATCTCCCTTTAAGGAGAAGGACTTGCCCAGGGCCACACGAGTCATTAGTATCTGAAGTGGGACGTGAAGCCTAAACTTTTTGACTCCAAGGCTAGCGATCTATCCACTGCACCACCCTGCCTCTAGTGCAGGGCTTTGTTCTTAACCTTTTTAGTACATGGATCCCTTTTGCAATCTGAAGCCTACAGACCCCCTCTCAGAATATCTTTAAATGCATAAAACAAAATACACAGGCATACAAAAGAAATCCATGGTGTTGCCACCCAAGTTCCTGGACACCCTGAAAGCTACCCACAAGGACCACGGAGCACCGCAGGCGAGCGAGCAAGCGGGGCTTGCTTTCTTTCCGTGGGTCCATGACTTCCCTGGACAATCTCAGTCACCACTCAGGCCCCATCATTCGACCTGACCATCCTCACAGCCTGCTGATGCCATTGACCTCTCTAGCCGTCCAGCTCCCTCCAGTGTCCCAGGCTCAACCTCGACTCCCTGCCCTGCCATGCAGACAGGGTCACCACTTCCCCCTCGTGCACTCCTCTCCTCCAAGGCCCTTCCCCACACTCACACAGCTGCCCCCAGGTACAGGCTCTATGCCCCCTCCCTCTCCACCCTGCAGAGGTGCCAAGTAACTCCTGCGTTGGGGCCCAACCACCGAAGCTCGAGGGACGCCCTGTAGGAGGGGGCCCCTGATTCCAGCTGGAACATCCTCCACGGCTTGCCTCTCTCCTGCTGCTCCCCAGACAGGGCACTCCATCCTGCAGCTCTGCTCATGCTATTCCTGCATCCGCAACACCCCACCTTCTTCATCGCTGCCTCTCAGAAACCTCATTTCCCTTCCAGGCTCAGCTCACGCGGCTTTTCCTGCGAGAGGCCTCTCCTGATGCCACCCCAGGCTCAGGCCTCGCAAGTATCACATCTTTGCTCTGAAGACTTTTTGTGTCTGTTTGGATGGGCACACACTGCTTCCCCTGCTAGAGAGTAAGCACCCTGAGGGCAAGGGCCTACACAGGGGCAGGCTTGGCGCAGGCACAGGAGGCTGACGCGCCTCCTCCCGTCCTCGTCAGTCATCTCAGACCACATTCTCTGCTCGGGAGCAATGTCCACAAGCCTCTGGACGTGGGATCCCAGCTGTTCCTCAGGCAAGTCTCTTCTCTCTGGGCCTCAGTTTCTTCATCTGCAAAATAGGATGATACCAGCCCCTTCCTCACTGGGTAGTTGTGGGGAGACGCCTTCACACATGTTAAGTGCTGCCTATGAGGGTGTGGGCCATGGAGAGATCAGCTGTCACGACTGCTACCATTCAGAGGGCAACGGTGATGTCCCATATGCTCTGGGGACATAGACTGTGCTCTGCAAACAAAAGGCACTTATGCCTTTTCTAATGCCCACTCCTGACTCCAGGGCCAGTTCTCTGTCCACTGTGCCACCTAGATGCCCCTAAGGAGCTCCCTTTCTGAGGGAGCGGGCATATAC